TAAATCCTGACACACATCTGCCTCAGCTTATTCACAACTTCTCCTGACACATACTGTATTCTATTACAGTTCCCACTCACAATTCTGGAGACTAGTATGGTAGCTTAAGGTACAAAATTAGGCAGTGCCCCAAAATTACTCAAAGGGCTCTTTGTCCCTAGAGGTCACTAGAGGCATCTTCGCATTACCCAGTTATCTTAGCATCAACTCAGAAAGTCTCTTACCTCACCTTCTTCAACCCTGCCTCCTGAACACCAGTGCTAATGGGAACACCACTCTCTCATAGTGTAGCTACCTCACCATTTTGGTCCATTTCCCCAATGCATTTACATCACCTCCCCCAGCTGCACAGGTACTTTTATAGCACCACTAGTTTCACAAGTAATGCACAGGTGTTCATCTGCTTGCTGCAGAACGTTAATAATAACTTCTCATTGTAGAGTAAAAGGTCATGATCAAGAGTTTGGACAAAGGCTTGAACAGTAACAACACTGCCAGTCCTTGATTGGTGCAATTCTTGTAATCTAGCAACTTCTCTTAAAGGGCTGTACTGTGGAAGCTTTGCCCAAACAAAAGGCAAGCGGAGGGCTAAGGACAAGTCACCAGCATTGCTAGTAGGATCCCTGCAGCTGATCTGTTCCCCATTACAGACTTACTTACCTTGTTCTACAATGTGCCCCTGTGTGGAGGCAGCCATCTTGGTATAGGCAGGGTCTAGCTTACTTAAGTCAGAGCTGTCCCCCGATGACTGGTGATGACCCCTGACTGTGATCTCTGATTGCTGATGAAATATTCAAAAAGCAGCAGGAGAGGCAAAGAAAGCACAGGATCGCAGATCGCAGAAAGTAGAAGTAGGGAGATACATGCACTCCAGGTTCTCAAGTACAGATTCCGCTTTAGCAAGCCCTCAGGAGAACAGTGAGCAGCACAGTAGTAGCATCACCAAAGCTTGTAAGAGTAGCAGTTACAGGGAACACCACCTTTCACACTGCAAATATACAGCTATGAGACTGTTGTCATAGCACGTGTACTGCTATTTTTTCAGGTGGAATTTGATAAAAAGGTAGCTTTTTCAGGGTACTGCTTAGGAACTATTAACATTTCTAGATGTTACCTAAAGGATAGCCAATGTTCATCTTTTGAGTTTAGTCCACTTTAAGACAGTTGTTTATACATTTCGAATTTCCTGGGGGTACCTTTTTTGCTGTGCATCCAGCAAACCATTGTAGATGAAGAATATACTTTAATCGGGGATATATATATATATATATACACCACACACACACACACGATGATTTACCTTAAAGTGGTATTAAAGTCTCAGTTTTATTTACATGTATATCTAGTGGAGTGGTAGCAAGCAGTAGATATATGCCATAACATTTTTTTTTTAAACGGAAAAAGTTGCAAAATAAGTTATAACGTACCTGTGTCTGCGCCGCTTGCGCCTGGCTGCAGAACACAGCTTCTCTAACGGCCGCGTGATTGGTACTGCAGAACACAGCTTCTCAACGGCTTATCAAGTGATTGGTACTGTGGCATGTACTGTATATCACTAATATAGCTGAATGCTCAGAAACCATGGCTTCTGATCATTGCTTTCAAACATAGGCAACATCTCCACCTAATGGCTATACTAAACATCAACACTATTTAAAAAGATTGCATAGAAACCTAAATTACAAAATGGGAGCTGTTTTTAATAATGAGAGAAGAAGAGACGTTGCTTGTGGTTTCTCATCATGTTTGATTGTTATGTCCCTGGAAAATAAAACACAGAATCTGATTGGTTTAATTTGCAATCAACTTACTTTTTTTAATGGCATGGGAAACATTTTTACTGCTATATTTCCATAGGGAAGATTTGCCCTCAGTTCCTTTACCCATGTCTCTGGAAAATGGTTAATCGCTCCCATAGAGACACAAGAACAGCAATTAAAAAAAGCTTTTGTATAGTATAGTGGAGAACGTTTATAACCTTAACATGTTTTTATTGCTATGCCACTGGTTCCTACCACCGCTGCAGAACATACAAGGACATAACAGCAGGAGGAACCACAGGAAGGGGCTGGGGAGCAGACACCAGAGTTAGACCCAGTATGCACTCTTTGATGCAACAGACCTGGTTAGATACTCCCCCCTTTCTACTCGGCAATAAAACTAGCGTTGAGGGTTGGGCCAGCAGAGAACACTGGAGTGTAAGGGTAGGAAACAGTAGTGTCTGAGAAAAAACGTATTTTGAGGCATTTCCAAGGTAAGGTCACTCACAAATCATAACACATAGGGGTACCAGACTACAAAGAGATAGGAACTCAAAACAATATTCAGGTTTAAAGGGAAACTTTAATAGAAAACCATTTCTGTATAGGAAGTCTAAAGTGTAAGCTGCCATTCCTTGATTGCCAACTGGAATGGGTGTGCTTAAAATGCTGAATTCCAATAATCAATGGATAATGGATATATATGATAAGAAGGAGAATTAAAGTTCATATGGGGCACAGTGGCTCCAGTGAGCCTGCTCTCGGCACAAACAGGACACCCCTGAAATGGGGGACACAAAAGTGTGAAATCCACCCATAAGTCCAAAGAGAGCACCAGACCAAAGAAAAGAGGGTCCAAAATCTTTTACCCATGATGCTCAATCACAGGACAGAATTAAGCAGCCAACATGTTTCGGCTTCTTCACATTCATAGGTAATCAAGAAAGCACAATCACCAATTTTTTTTTTTTTTAATGATACATCTAAATGTCCAGGAGCAGAAAACAGCAGCACACATTCTATCCGCTTTTAATCAGCTTTAAAGGGAAAACATCATTAAATGTAATTTGTCTGTGTGAAATGTAAGCTGCTATTCTTTAACTGCTGGTCCTCATTCTAGGTCCCAAAAGGGAAGCTGAATGTATCAGGTATCTAATTGAGTGAACTAGTAGGTGGCATAAGAGTCAGAAAACAGCAGCACTGTTATGAGGCTTCTCTCACAATTAGTTTGTTTTATGACAGATTCCCTTTAATTACTCTTTAGTGTGGTGGATACAATTTCATTAGGGTCCCAAGAATATTACAATAGCTTTAGATGGTTCAAAGACAATTGAACATGGGACTTCTGTTGGGCTACCTCTATAAAGTTACTGTGCTGTGGTCACATCCCTAACTACATTTAGCCATCTTTTAATGACACCCATATTATCTGTTTTCATTCATGAGGTTCAGACCACATATCTCAGCAGAAAAGGTTCAAGCTATGTATGTAGTGATCTGCATTCCTGACCACATAAAAAAATGATACATCTTGTGGTCCCTAATCTCAGACGAATAAAAGGCAGTTATTGTTGTGGGTGGGCACAGCTTTGTCACCACATAGCGAGCAGCTATTTAAGCCAAATAGTTTTTGAATTTAGTGTAATTTCCTGATCCACAATTACAGGAGCAATGTGTAGTTCCGTCTTCAAAACAGAGCAGCAGCAGGATAAGAAGTGTAAGGAGGCTGACAATGAGCCAGTAATTTCTATACCACGCTAACACACAATACCATTTTCAGACACTGCTGCATGCAGCTTTTAGTAGAACAATATTACAATAATTGAGGTTGGACAATAGCCATTTAAAATAAACTTTATACAGTGCATATGTTCAGTCTGACTGTAATTTAGAAGAGAAAGCTGTTTTACTTCAGTTCTATCTAAAAGACTACCAAAAAAAAGCGTTCTTTGATTAAAAAAACAGATCTATTTACCTGTTAACTCAATTTTGAGGAATCTTCCAGGAGAGCACAAGATAGAGTGTGGCAATGCCCACCTAAAACAGGAATTGCAATGTTCAAAGACAATGAAAGAACACACCTAGAGTTAATATTAGGCTTAATATTGAAGAAATGAAAGGCAAACAATAGAACATGCTATACATACAAACAAAACACAATAGAACATACATAACAATAGAACATAAAATACGTTTAAACCCCTAATCACTAAAGTGATGGGAGGGTGGAGGGTGATAGGAACACTTACACATGTACACATTTCTGGGCTGGGTCCTGGAGATGGGAGGCTTTGTAGAGCTTTTGTGGGATAAAGCCTGCAGATGCTAGAGGCTCTTTCTCTCTTTCACTCTCTTTACTGTGGGAGCCTGCTGTCTAATGACAGAACTTTAAAAAGGTACCAGAGCTCCCTGTTTGTTTTGGGGGACCTATTTGCGGCCACTCTGTTAGTCAAAGCCGGCCACTTCTTTCAAGGAGGTACAACCAGTACTGCTAAACCATCGGGGAAGGTTGCCCCTTCTAAGTTGGAGGAGAAAAGAAACCTCAGGACAGTAAAGACACTCCTCAGAGGCAGGAAGGGATAATATATCATGCAGGACATACAAAAGAGGTCTTCACTCCCTAATCCCAGCTATCCAAGCCTGCCAGGTCCACAGTCCCTAGGATAGAATATGAGCTGATAAGGAGGGAGATCTCTGCTTCAAGGCATTGAAACATTTATTTTCCAAAGATCTGAGTCAGTGAGTTTGGGCTTGTTCTTTTATTGTATATGAGCCTTGTGTTTTCCGTTTTAGGTGGGCGGAGGTGATTGGGGCAAACTTACTTGACCTGCCACCAATGTCTCTGGTTTTCACTCTTTTGCAAAACTTTATCCGCTGACAGAATCTTCAGCAACCAACACTTCCAGGTGTTGAATGCCTGCATCCCCTGCTGCATGCTGTGGTACCATCCACCACTAAGTCACGAATGTGCTCCAGGGAAGTGTTGGATGCTGATGATTCTGCCGGTGGGTGTAGCTGTGCAAGAGATCAGAGGCACAGGGGATGAGGCAGCTAAGTTTTATTATTGTTCCTTTGCAGACAACTTTACCTATGCTATAGTCCTCGAGATCACCTTGATTAGTCCTGCGTACGTTGTCTTTGTAATGTGTTACAAAATTGTAATATCACTAGTAACAGATGAACTACATGATAAATATTTCTATATCTTTGACTAAAATGAACTGTTCTGGGTTTTTTTAGGACTGCGACACATGGCCATTTTGAAAATGGTTGGCATTGGTGTTGATGGAAGTGGTGTTTTGGAACTCTACCCAATCAATGGTAAGAAATTAAAATACCATTTATAGGCTGTATGTGACCTTTTTAATAGCTCAAAATTCCTATTTTGCTGATTTACAAATATTTGCAATGTTTTTATGCCCCCCTAAACTAAGATTCATCTATTATTTGTAAATCAAGGAAACAGGCTAAAAGAACTTCTGTGAATGTGGCATAATCAGTTTTAATTTTTTTCAAATTTGTCTTTCCGATTTCTGGATTGTCTACAGTTTAATATGCAGTATTTTTCACTTCACTCGCACATTACATCATTCTCTCCAAAACCTTTAAAACTGAGCTTCAGACATGTAAAAAAACAGTTATAGAGATATAAAAACATTATCAAATGTATTTTTAAGTACTGATAGCATATCTGTCAGGAATCTGTCTTGAATTACTAATAACTTTCCATAGTCCCGTACACATCAGAACTCAGAGAAGAAAGGTCAGTATTGTAAGTCTTTGGAGGACTCTAGTGCATTGTACAGTGCTGTCAGTCAAACTGGGAACTTATTCAGCCTAATCAGTGTTTTACTACTTCTTCACTGTCCAAAGATTTTAAATAAAATTCAGTTAAAGCAGTGTTTGAGTCACAAGAGTACCCGGCTTACAGTAGCAACAAGTATTTTGACAGGTAAAATACTTCACACATGCTGTAGGCACTTCACCTGTGTAGTTACCTGCTTGGCTGGAGTTACACTTTGAAAGGAAAATATTGTCATTGTGAGAGGTGTTTATCTCTTCCCATCTACCAATTGGGTTCAACCCTGGCCTGGAAAACAACATTTGAAATGTGAAAGATTGAATCTGATGGCTGGATGTTGGGGGTAGCAATTCTTACTACTGACTATTTAATACATAATGGCCAATATGGAAGAACTGAGCCTTAAGGTAGTTGTAAGCATGAGTTTCTAGTTGTCTTTTCGCTTCACTTCACTGCAACCTTATATCCCTCCACAGTTGTAAACCTATGCACATACACCGTATACACATACATACATACATACTGTATACACATACACTTACTCCTCTGGTAACATGGCTGGCTGTTCCTTCAGCCTCTCCCACCAACAGGAGAGCATGGTGGTGACAGTGCTGTACCCTGCTTAAGGCTGCCCTTGTCATGACTCTATAGAAAAAAAAGTGGCTGTCCAGAAGCATCATGTTGGGTAGCCACAGGCAACAGAGAAATGTTTGCGGAAGTGGCATCAGGACCCAAGGCATACAGGCAAAAGATGCAGGGTACATGCTCCGGGTGGCTGGCCTGATGCCCATGCCACAACCACTGTACCACTAACTACTTGCAGTTGCGCCTGCCACATTCCCCACAAAGAGAGCCCTTTTGTTTTAAAATACAAGCACAGAAGAGCCAAGCACACCTATTACCGGTACATCAGCAATATAAATGCTATACTTTGTTAAATAAACAACAATTTTTCCATGGTCTGCCTAAATTAACTCTGCTGATAATATTATCTGCTGATAATATTAAGAAAAATATCTTTTCAGCAACAGAGTTAGGCTAGGAAAAGTATGGCAAAATCTTAGTTTATGTGGATAAAAGGTTATAAATACTATTCATATTGCTGATTTAAATGTGCTAGGCTTATTATTACAATATTAATTTTTAAAATACAGTTTGTCCTTTAAAGTGGTCTTAGCATGAGATATGTATTATAATGTTAAGTGCACATATGCTAAGTCATATGTAGTGTTATTAGATCTCAGAGATCATAGTACTTCCCTTACACTGTCAATGCCTTTATCTAAATTACTGTCTAGAAGGACAGCACCATGTTTGTTCAAACATTTTGCATGGCTAGCATCTATTTCTAGGTCTGAGATGCTGGTTCAGATGACCCAATCATGTACAATCTGGTACTTGTTCTGTTCTTGGATGTGTGTACGTCAGCCTGCTGTAGGCTTTCACCTTGTGACTCCAAAGTTACAATATTGCAGTCTGATGACTGGGGGGGGAGAAATGCTTCCTCATGCCTGCACCAGACTGATCACATATCTCAGCCTAGGCAAAGTCACTTTCCTGAAGTCCATGGATTTATTTTTAGTAACAAAAGATTCAGCTTTCATTTAACCATCCTGTAATTCTATATAGTGACATATCAGGGATTTATTAATGCAGACTTGTTGCTGAAACGTCCATTTTAACCTTACTCTTAATCAGACTAATGACATGTAACTATTTATGACTATCACAGGAAGCTCCAGTGTTGAGAGAGAAGATCTTTCCTTTAACTTGGTGAAAGACATAAGAAATTATTTTCAAGTCAGCCCCGAATATTTCTCCATGCTTCTGGTTGGCAAAGATGGCAACGTAAAATCTTGGTACCCTTCACCCATGTGGTCTATGGCAATTGTCTATGATCTAATTGACTCGATGCAGCTCAGACGACAGGAAATGGCTATTCAACAGTCACTGGGAATGCGTTGCCCAGAAGATGAATATGGAGGATATGGTTACCATGGTTACCCTCACCAGGGATATGAGGATGGCTATCAGGATGATTATCGACACCATGAGGGACACTACCATAGATATCATGACTAACACTTATTTGGCTAAGACTGATATTTTTAATAAAAATCTGAATATGTAAATGACAAGTTTCAGAATGTGGTATATAGTTTTACCATATATGTTTTAAGAAAATGGTTCAAACAAAGACTGCTCTGTCTTCTCTTTATTTCTTTCTTATGAAGATATTTTTTGTATGTATTTATTTAAAAATGCTACAGACTCAACATTGACTGTTTGCTAAGTAGGCCATAAGCATTTTTTATCTGGTGTCAAATTAAACAGACATTTGTTGGCTTCAACAGCCCCTCAGATATTAAAAAATAACTCCCATGTATTTACTCTTTTTAACAGTTTAAGATTTTTTTTTTTCCAAATAAGACTTTACTATATTACACCATTATGCCACTGGAAATATGCCTAAGCTCCACTAGGCTCTGCTTCACTAGGCCCTGCTCCACATCATGTTGCATATATTGTGCACTTAAGACATTAGGTTCAATACACAAAGGCAGAACATGTGTGTTATTTCTAATGCCATGTGTTATTCATTTTCTCATGTTAAAAATAGATTTTTTTTTACTCCTCTAAAAGGTGTCATCACGCAAATGAGCATAATTTACTGCACACACATCTTTTATCATTTTTTTGTGTGGTATTTTACATGTAAAAAAACAATGCACATACATTCTTAAAATGTCAGTCACTATTTGGAATTGAAAAAAAAAGTTGCCTGCAAAAAAAGATGCCTAAGGCCTTGTTCACACCAAATGCAGACCAGATCTGCATGAGTTTCTGCACACGCAGTGCAGCGGGTTGTGCCGCGTTTTCGATGCAATCCGGGTCGTTTTTTGTAAAAAAAAATTTAGTTTAGAATGGGCTTTTAGTGCGTTCTAGGATGCTTGCATGTGTTTTTTAATGCGTTTGCATGCATTCCAGAGCAGGTAAAATAGGGCTTGCTGCAGTTTTTTTACATGCTCTGGAACTGAACGCTGCGGTGTAAACTAGAGCCTAAAATACCATTGGAATACATTGGACGCAGTTTTGATCCGGTCTGTAACTGCTCTGCTCTGCTGCTGGAATGCGCTCGTGTGAACAAGGCCTAATACTTGGATGCAGCCTCAGATCTTGGCACTCTTCAAGAGTTACAGCAGTCTGCTGATTCTTCAGCACCCAACATTTCTAGGTGTGTTGTATGTCTGCATCCCCTGTTGTGCTCTATTGTTCCATCCACCAGCCCCTATATCACTACTCTGTCTTGTAGTGAAGGGCTGGCGGATGCAACCACGGAATGCAATGTGGGAGCAAGGATTCTGACCCAGCAAGAAGTGTGTCAAATAACAGAAATCTTAGGATGGATGTAGCTCTTGAAGAGAGCCAAGATCAAAGTCAGATCCTGATGGAGAGGAAAATTAGGCAGCCAATTATTTTTTTTAATTTTACAGATAGAGACAGAGTTGTATTGCAATGCATTCAGTTTCGGGCTGGTAAAAGCTGTGAGTTTTAGCAAGGTGTGCATAAAGGGAAGCATGAAAATAAGCCATGTGAGGTGGTAGTAAAATAAAAATTAATGAAAAAGGCTTTCATGTGAAAAAATATTCAACATAAATATTTATGTTTACAATTTTTTTTTTTTTAGAAAAATTGTCATGTGTCCTCATTCACACTTGCTGGAATGCAGAACTATCACAGGGTCCATCAAGATCTCTGGGTAGCTGTACCTACTGCTCCAACAATAGTTCTGGCAGTGTGTTGCAGCCTTATCTGATGAAATGATTCAGTGGTGTACAGACAGCCGGGCTGACTATTTTGTGTTCTGAACCCATATGGAGGAAGTGTGGTGATCTGCTCCCCTAGAAACAACTGTATCATGATCGATCTTAAAATGTTGCATCATGAAACAAGTCACCATAAGGCCAGTAGCTCAGCTTCAGCTGGTAAGCTTCACATTCATTAACATTGGTTTGGCACACAAATTCTCCTCTTCTCTCTGGCCAGGCATCAGTTTAAGTACTTTGGCATGTTGCATGCCAGCCACATAATCATTTCTTTTTTATTTAATAAATGAAATGCTCTAAAAGCGTGTTTTGTTCATGTGGCCCTTTTATGTATATGTATATTTTGTGTAAACAACAGATTAAACTTCGATAGAAAGTTAACTACTCTGAAGCTTGTAGTGTCAATACTCCATTTGCTTTTTATGCAGTACACAGACATTCCAAAAAAGTATTATATAGTAAAGGAATTGCAATTTGCAGGTCACCTCCTTAGACTGAATGGAAAATCCCCACTTTTCCTGTGCCAAACTCCTTCTTTACTCATAAGAGTAAAATGATACCTATGTGGTGACTCTGAAACATGGGCTATTACATACCGGTATATATTTTTTGGTAAGTAATATTTATTGGGAAAGAAAAGCAATATGCAAGTCTAAATTTATCTTTGCATCATTATAATATGTCCCCAGTGTTCACACCACCACATACCCTGCCAAAACGTCTAACGTAGCAGACTGTACACTAAGAAAATACACATTTGTATCTTTATAGTCAATGAGGTTCATGTTCAGAGTGTATATAAACAGAAAATCCTGTCTCCCTTTCAAATTTTCCTCTATTTCTTCTACTATTGAAAGGTCTAAAACAGATTATCTGGATATATTACACCTATAAAGACAGTACCTCTCTATGCTGGTGATGGAGTATTTTTGTATGCAACATTGTGGTGCAACAGAACATAATTTGTAAAATGATGATTGGGAGAAAATGGCTCATTATGATATAAACCACACTGAAAAATACTTAATACGGTATTTAAATAATAGCCATGGTAACATTCCACCTTGATCATTAAAGCTATAACAAAAAAAAAGGGGGCTATAAAACAAAATTGTTGTTCACTATGTGTTATGTACCTATCAACGGAGGTAGACTATTAAGACCATATGCAGTTTAGTAAACCTGCTGTTTACATTCTGCAAGATGACAGCATTGTAGCACTAGTTTGGAAAACCAAAATGGTGTGTGATAACAAGTACAATGTGCAATCAATCAATAAAGATTTTTTTTTTAAAGAATTATTGCTCATCTGATCTTTTTTATTTTATCTATACAATAGCAGTGATGTTTTCAATTTAATGATTGTCAGAAGACTCTTAAAGCATCTGTGGAAATTATAGTCTTTGTATCCAGATAAGGCGACCACGTCATGTCTATGAGTAACCTACAGACAACTCAAATCAGAATCTCAAATGGATCCAAACATTGCTTTCCAAGAGGGAAGCCAGCATTGGGACAGCCAGGAGTGTATTGAGCGACTCATCCATCATCTTAATAAAAGTACAGCTATACTATGAAGATTGCTTTCATGACCCAGAATAAGCCTTTAGAGTCAAACTTGTCATGATTATTTTTTGGTTATTTTTTTTAGCTGTGCCTGGTGCCAATTAAGTGCTCATCTTTCCTGCATGAAGAGTTTACAGTATATTGCAGTCAATCCATTTTCTCTTTAGAGCTGGATTAAGCCCCGTTTCATAACTGAACTGTAGCTGCCCAAAAGTACCCAGCTAGGGTCATCGTGGAACTTATGACCTGAAAGAGTGGAAGGATACATTCTTCAGACATCCATAGCAGAAACAGTGGTGTGGAACCACTGTAGGTCAGGATCACTGCTTAGGCATTTTTATCATAAAAAATTCTACATGGCAACATTAAAGCTGAACTCTAATTAGATATAAATGACAGATTAATGCAGCAAATTATTTATTATACATCATGCATAAAGTTAGGAGTTTAAGTGATACCCTAACAACTAACATTATTATTAAAAGATGCAAGCTATGGGATTTCTTAGATCCTTTCAGGCTAGAAAGAGTATCACTTAATCTCAGAACATTCTTCATAATCGATGGATAACATGGTACAATTTACTACTATTAATACATTATTCAAGTTATTTTTAATACAAGCAGTGTAAAAACCTGAATTGACCTAGTGACAGTATATTGCAGTCCCTGTACAGGAGAGCCCAGAGAGGAATAAGTCTCACAATGAACCAATCATCTGACAAAGAGCATGCTGACAGAAGGAGTTTGGGTTTTAACAAAAAAAAGTTGGGAGAAATGTCCTCTATTACAGCGCTGCCCCTGAGGTGAGGGTGAACAAATATCGCTTGCGTTACTAGGTGTGCGGCTCCTAAAAATTGCGGACCGGGGTGTCCAACGTTTTGCTGATAGAGAACATAAAAAATGCAGAAGCGCACTACCAAGTAGTGACTGAGCAGGAGAAAATAATCGAATGAGACTTACCAGGGTGTGGGTAATAGCGCGTTGTCAGCGGTGAGGTCTGGATGAAGGGTTGCTGGTGGTGGTGGGCAGGCTAATGTGTAAATCGTTGGTGCTGGAAAGACTAAGATGTCAAAAGGGGAACTGGGTCCGACGTTTAATGTGGCTGGGATCTGAGGGGGCGGCTCGGGTTTGGGAGAAATACATTTTTGACTGTTTAAAACGTGCTAGCATTCACTCAGTGGCTTGAAAAAGATCTCTTTAGAAAGTTCCCTCAATAATCTTCGCTTTACTTCCCTTTGTTGGACCTCCAACAAAATCCTCTCTAAGCTTAAACATCTCTCCCCGCTCACATATGAAGCTATAGGTGAATTTCATAAAATTTCCATAACGCATACCCTTACTATACCCTCCAGCCCACTGACTCCCATTCGCAACAACTTTGATTTTTCACATAGTCTCTCCCCCTCATTCTTATCTGATTGACTTCGGTATACCCTAGCATTTCGTATACTTTTCCTATTTTCCTCTCTTCCCTCCCTTTGCCACCTTTTTATTTTCCTGCTCCCCCTCATCATCAATATACATTATTATTATATATTGCCAAAAGTATTGGGACGCCTGCCTTTACACGCACATGAACTTTAATGGCATCCCAGTCTTAGTCCGTAGGGTTCAATATTGAGTTGGCGCACCCTTTGCAGCTATAACAGCTTCAACTCTTCTGGGAAGGCTGTCCACAAGGTTTAGGAGTGTGTCTATGGGAATGTTTGACCATTCTTCCAGAAGGGCATTGGTGAGGTCAGGTGCTGATGTTGGACGAGAAGGCCTGGCTCGCAGTTTCCGCTCCAATTCATCCCAAAGATGTTCGGGTTGAGGTCAGGACTCTGTGCAGGCCAGTCAAGTTCCTCCACCCCAAACTCACTCATCCTGGTCTTTATGGACCTTGCTTTGTGCATTGGTGCACAGTCATGCTGTAACAGGAAGGGGACATCCCCAAACTGTTCCCACAAAGTTAGGAGCATGAAATTGTCCAAAATGTCTTGGTATGCTGATGGCTTAAGAGTTCCCTTCACTGGAACTAAGGGGCCAAGCCTAATTTTTTAACCTGTGGTCATGGAGGTGAT